CACCCCCGCCCAAGCTGTGCGGACTGGAAGCAATGGATGAGGGAAGCTCTTTGTACCTGGTCAGTCAAGGGCAGCAAGCAACAGAGTTTCAAAGGGGAAATGCAACTAACTGAATATGCAAGTTGAAAAAACTGAATATAGAAACGTGTATAGATATGTAACTTTAAATAATATAATATTCCACAGAGAGGAGATTCTATAATCAATAAAGGCTGTATTATGATAGAGCCACGAGACGAGATTCCAAAAAACCTGTAACTAAGCTGACCTACTATAGATATTTTAGCTTTAGGCTCCTGACCTCAGACTGGTCAAATACAAAATAGGTTTCTAAAGACTGAAAAGAATATTTCTGTTATGCACACTCAATGTGAGGTATTAAAGACAGTTCTAAAAGAAACCAGTAAATATCTACAACTTTTGAACGGAAGATACTTAAAAGTTAAGTATCTGTCAAATCTGAACAAGAACAAAATCCAAAGCCTACTTACTTGAGGGCATGGTGTAGGTATCTTCTTCGTCTATAATCTCAGCATAGTCATCGGTTTCTGCAGGGAAGGAAACGGACACGTTGGAAGATGTGAACTATTTGACCTCCCGGCCTTTAACATAATTTGAAAAGGCAAAACGATCTGCCTAAGTCCCCTGTTATGCCGACACATTCCTAAAACACGATTACTCGATTTTTGCTCACACATGAGTCATTTATGGAAATAAAAGTGACGTCATGGTGCAATCTGTTATAACACACAGACTTGTTTCTCAGGGAGCAAACAGAGCTCGCACAGAGAGCCCTTGCGAATGACAGAAAGATGTGGAGCAACTATGCGCACGATCTGAGGCCGCCCATCTGCACTGACTGCACAGCTCTCTCTCATCTACACCAAAGGCACGTTTGGGCCCCACTGCTGTCTCCCGGGATTTCTCCAAACAAGATGAGTATCTCAAAAACAGGGAACCTGACATCATTCAATAATTAGACTCTACAGCATGAGCTCAATGCTCTCCTTTAGAAGGCAAAAATGGCGGCCTGACGTTTGAGGACACGGGTCATGCATTTCATCTGTTCAGGGTGGAAGAAACGCAGGAATTTCTCTCTTGTCGCTTTTCACTCAGATATTTGAAGACTACGCATTAACGTCAAAAAGGGTAAAACATCTAAGAGAAAGAATGAAATGAGAAGAAAGAGCGTATTAAAATGAGTTCTTTTCTGAGGTGATGTCAAGGCGTTTCCGTGTTTCCACTCACTCCTCTTGGTAACACGGTGACTTAGAAATCCGATGCCACGTCAATGGGGGGAAGCTCATTTGGAGAAAACCCTCACCTGAGTAACACGTACGCGGACTTAAGCCTTGTCTGTTTTCTCCTTCTGTCAAGAGGGAAACCTTTAGCTGCTCCAGGCAGAAGGACTGCCACTGCCGGGCCAGGAAAGGAGGGCCGCACTTCCTCGCTGGTCTCTTAAGGGAGCTCTTCCAGGAGAGAACCTGACCAGGCACCACCTCTGGCCCCAGAGAAACTAACGAGCTGAAAGCTCTTTCCTTCATGCCATCACTACTTCACTCAGACGCTAAAATTACAGGAAAGAGAGAATGTATATAGTCTACGTTCTTCGGGACGTCAGTTGTTCCACGCTGCCATGGTAATGACGGAGCCCAAAGCTAAGAGTACCTGGAAGAATCTATTTCTTGGCTGAGCTGGCAGAACAAAGTCCACAGATCAGTTCTCCTTGAAGCATCTAGTAAATGCGAACCACTGCTACGTCCCGTGTGAAAGCAGGGTGGGTGATGTGTATCACTCTTACGTGTCGTAAGTAACACCACTTCAGGATTACTCTACCCAGACCTCACGTTCCTTAATTTCTCTGCCTCTCCCTCTTACCCTGTTCTCGGTGACTGGCATGTCCTCGGCCCACAGCTTTGCTTCTGTGTGAGCTGGCTTAATGAAGGACGCTGAAATGCCCTCTGGGCACAGAAGGGAGTGACCAGGCACTTTAAGAAAAAGGACCGAGCGGAGGGGGCTCTGCACTAACAGCTAGGACAGCTGAGGCAACACGTCACACGCGTGCCATTTGCGGATCCGTCTTCTCCCTTTACTCCAAAGTTTGCCCAGCTCGACTGCATGCCCTCCCCTCAGAAAGCTGAGGCAGGGTTTCCACAAACAGGCGCTACCCTCACTCCTCCTTCTCTACGAAGCACACGCCTTTAGAGGCGACCCTGGGCAGCAGGATCCCGGCGGGGACAGCTGCCGGGCGCCCGGCCTCCACACGCCTTCCTCCGCCGCCCTGTCCCCAGAGCGCTCCGGCAGTCCTTGCGCTTGGCTCCGGGCTCCACGAGGGGACGTCATGGATCAATCACCACCACGGGCACGGAGTCCTTATGTGGCTGTGGGGACACCGCCCGCCTGACGGAGAAGGGCACGGCGCGCGGTGACGTCACAGCAGGCCTCCGACCCAGCACTCAGCACGGGGCTGGGGCTCGCGTTGGCTCGGCCAACTCTGGTTTCGGCCCAAGTGTCACCAAGCCAGAGACCCTGCCTCAAACGAACCTGCCCCCTACCCCCCTCACTCTTAACCATGCTGCCCGGTTTACTTTCCTCAGCATCTATCAGGATCAACGATCTGGCAGTCCTCTGGTCCCCTGTCAACTGTCTGTCCCCCTCCAGACGGAGAGCCCAGGGGAGCGGAGCCCAGGTGTGTGTTTGACCGCTGTATTTTCGGCATCTGGCACGGTGCCCGGCACGGAGAAGGGGCCGGGCGTATACAGGCCGGGCACAGAGGGGTGGTGAGGGGGCCTCAGGTGGTGAGGGGACCACACGCCCCGCAGAGCTGGGGCAAAGGAGCTATGTGGCCGGTGCAAGGCTGCAGACCGTGGGGGGTGGCGCTGGTGCCCGGCTTGCCGATCCTGCAGGGGCAGCTCGCCTGGCTGTGCCCTAGCTGTGCCCTCGCGTGTAGAGTGGGGACATGTCCACCGGCAGGGTCGTCAGGAGAACGAGCCACGTAGAGGCGTGTCACAAAATGGGAGCCCCTTGGGATGCTTCTTCGGAGGGCTCTGTGGAAGGGGCCTGGCAGCTGGGGGGTGCCTGCCTGCTGAGACTCCCGGTCGGCCTTCCCGGTGGGACTATAGAGGCTTCTGGGACTGCCTCTCTTTATAAAAGTCTCACTGGAGATTCCAACCTCTGAGACAATCTGAGGCCATAAAAATAAAATGGCCAGTGTACAAAACTGATGTGGGAAAAATCAAGTTGCAGATCCTTTAATGAATTCACAAAACCACGAGTAAGAGCCTATAATTTTTTCCTCTCGATGCTCTGTGGATTCTATGTGAAACCCGGGGGCTATCAGAGCGATCTGGGCGTCACTCAGGACGGCGCCTGTGCGCTGTGGTGTAAGGGAAGACGTTACTGCAGTGTCTGTGTCCTCCACGAGGCGGTTCCTGTGGAGCAGAGTCGACACCGTTGAAGGCGCACAGGCCTACAAGACTCTGCTTGTGGCCGTCCACACAGCAGCCTTCAGCCGTGACGCTGGGCATACTTCTCCAGGAACGCTTGACATGGATCCAGCTCTCTGTTTCGTTTCTGGTCTTAAGATTGTGGGATAATATGATACCGATATGAGAGGTATTTTTACACGCTCAAGGGCCCCTGAGAAACTGCAGGCCAGCCTGAAACTGTCCACGTCCCCCCTCCCCCCAAAAACAATGGCATGATACAAGGAGAACAAACACAAAAACAGGAAGCAGGTTCAAGATCTGGGCACAGATCAGGGAAGCCAGATCCACATTCCTCACTTACGGACGATGCTGGCAGCCCGTGGCCGACACTGATAGAAACTGTTCCGCTTATCCGGCCAGGCAGTACTGTGACCATCGCCCCCCTCCGCGGACAGGAACCTGAGACCCCCAGGGCACGTGAGGGTCCCCCGAGTCCCGGTGCCAATCAGTGGTGGGCTGGTACGCGGAGCGGCACTCGGGCAGAGTGCCCGCCTCACTAGGATCTTCCACAACACTTACGGGCACTTTGGTTGCTTTTGTAAAGATTTTATTTTTAAATCGTGGGACTCGAACTCACAGCCCTGAGATCAAGAGTCGCATGTCCCACTGACTGAGCCAGCCGAGTGTCCCTGGGGACTTTAGGCTCCAAAACTATGGACTACTCCTCTAGGGACATTTAGGGACACTCCCACCTACCCCCCCCCCCCCCCCCCCCCCGCAACACCGGCACAGCTCTGTTCAGATGTTCACAAGGATGGGACCTGTGTTTTGGGGAGACGGTCTCAGGGTACCTGGCCCATGAATTAAATGCTTCAAAATAAACCTTTTTAAAAATGGAGACTCCCCAAACCTGGTACATTATAATCTGAAAGGTTGGGTATCATGGTAGGTGGTAAAATAAAAGTGACAGGGAGACATGTTAAAGGGACAGAAACTGACAGCTCAGCAATTAGGAGAGAAAAGAACCAAGTCCTCATCTTAGAGCAGGGTCCCAAGAGGTGAGGCTGCTGTCGAAAACGATACGGCTGCACGATGTCTCGTGCTCTGTCACCGAGAGAGCCTGACGCCTCTGGGGTCGCTGCGAAGGGGGCTCCGCCTGGAATCGGGGGAGCGCGTGTCAGTGGACAACGGCTACCACCCTGTGGCTGTCAATAAAAGAAGCCGCACAGAAGCCCTCAGGCTCACGAACTTCTCAAACGCGGGCAACCTGCTCAATCTCTGATGGGAGAGGGGCAGACCTCCTCTACCGGCCTGGCCAACAGCGGTGTCCCGTTCCCCTGTGGCGCTCGTGCCTCAGCTTGGACCCCTGCAATTCTGCCAGCCTGTTCCCCTGACTGGTTTCCGTCCTGCCCTCAGGGAGCCGGAACATGGCATCAGTCCCACAGAGCAATGCCTTGATGGGGACAAGATTACTTGGGCCATTCGGTGGGACTGAGCAGTGTCACAGCTTCTTATCTGACCCGGGGGACGGAGACGTGCCATTAGCCGAGAGGCACTGGGGAGCAGGGGAAGAGTTCTTTTCTAGGAAGCCAGGAAGGGCCCAACCGTGCTCCTTTTAATATCAACCAGCTGCACGGCCCAGACCAGGCTCGGCAGCTCATTTCCGGAAAGGGTTGGACGGTGTGCATTTTAGACTCTGCTGCAACTGCTCGACCCCACTGTTAAGTGACCGTCGGCAGCCGCGGGAGCAGATGGGGGCGGTCGTGCTCTAAGAAGCTCTTACTTGTGGTCGCTGAGATGGGAATTTGACGTGGTTCTCATGCCACAAATACTATTGTCTTTTCCCCACTCAGTAAAAACATTAATAATCGTCCTCAGCTCCGGGGAAGAACAAGAGGTGGGCTGGGTTTGGGCCACATGGGCCTCAGCGCGTGCGCCCCCAAGTGACGAAAGCCTCAAGGCCCGGCTTGTTCGTCTGCAGGACGGGAACAGTAACACTTGCCCCGTCTGGCCCACAGCACTGGGAAGGTCAAGTGTGGGGGGAACGGGTTCTTTACACAGACGATGTGGGAAAAACCACGTGTTCATGAACACGTGGTCAAATTTTCACGTTTGCACAGTAATTCTCACAACAACCACTGAGACCTTTGTGGATGAGGACGCGGGACATAAAGCAATCTGCGCAGGCCCATTGAGGGAGGCCGCTGGTGACAGGATGGGGTGCGGGGTGGGGGGAAGCGTGAGGCTGGAGCCTCCTTCCTGCCACGCATCCCGCGGCAGCCGTGGCCTCGGGGGTCCCCCTCGGGCTCGCGGCCACGACGACACCTGACACCCCATCCGGAGCCACGCGGTCTGGCACCTGCACACGGGGCCCCACGCCAGCAGCGGCCACTGACTGACTGCTTCTACCGAGGAGGGGCCCTCCATGCTGTCAGCCGCACGGAGCAGACGCACTTTCCCAAAGTCACGTGGTTAAGACCTTTCACCGCTCAAGTGCTCCATCCCACCATGAAAATGACCCAGACGAAACCTTCAGGGAAAGCATTCTCTCATTCCATCACGAGGAAAAATGCCATTCCCCCCTAATTTGAGTTTCGTGTGAAGAGTTAAAGGTTCATGTAGGCAGACAGGAAGTGGGGAACCTGAGTCACGAAATGTGACTTTCAAACTTCCGGCTCATTAAGTGCTACCCTCAACTGCTTGAAGAACAATCGTGACACTGTTGCCGGTATCTCTCTCGCTAGTTTGTGTGGTTCTTAAAGATCTCGCTTTGCTCCTTCCTTTCTGCTACCCACTCCCAGACTAAAATTGTTATGTGTATACACTGTATTTGGGAAATCCCGTGGGGATCTCTATCATTGACAGTTTTCCACTGTGACTAATCTCATGAGTGGTACCATTGTGACAATCTTTCTTGAAACCCAAAGTTAACAAGGAAACCTAGAGAATTCACTGTGTGTATATACAACTCCAATTTACCACTGACACATGATAGAGAAAGTGCAAAGCCCTCAACAAGTTTTAGGAGATCATTTGTTCACAGCATCATCTTTTCACACTTGTTTTGCTGAATCAAAACCACATTCTGCCTTTCATTGAATAGTGAACCATATTTACGAATAAATAATTCTGATATTAGTAACACAAATGTGAAAATAAATATTACCGTCCCCACTAATTTCATCTGCAGATCCAGGTAGCATGCAAAGAAAGGGAGGGTGGGGAGGAGAGGGGCAGGGGAGAGGGGAGAGAGGGAGACACACTATTAACATGACAAGTAAATCAAAGTGCAAGGAAAACAAAAACTCACCCCCCAGGTCTCATTCGAAAGATAAAAGAGCGATTGCAGCAGAAAGTGTGTTTACTCCGTTTAAGGACATTATGGCGAGTTCGAAGCTGTCAACACATTATACAAAGTTACACAGCGGTTCAGCAAAGCTGCTTTCTACCACACTGAGCAAAATTAATCCTACAGGCTCTCGCAAGTTAAATGCTAAAGATGGCCTTTACCTCCCTCAAAGGGAATGTGCATCCGCTCAGATAAAAGTGAAAATAACCAGTCATTAATGAGTCTGGTAAAGGCTAGCCAGGGGCCCAGCCCTCAGCACGCCTCCTCCAGGAGGGCCTCCCCCAGCGAGCCATGGGGGTCCCAGGACACGGGGGCCACAGGCCAGGCCCAGCACATAAGCTGTACCACACGTCCAGTTTCCATTTAAATTTATGCAGTGTTGTGTGGAGAAATTCCTGTTCTACTTACAACAAACGATCTCTGCTTTCCAGAACACTATCCAAGTGGCCCGGCCGCCTCTGCCCCGCGGCACCCCAGAGCACCTGCCAGCAAAGCAGGAGCAGACGTCCAGGGCTCGGCCCGACCGCTCTACTTCGCTAACTCAGTCGGCCCGCAGGGCACGGCCGGGTACCTGCCGGCCCCCGAGGCAGAACACCGAGCCCCGTAAGGAAACCAGGAAGCTACGCCTCGCCCTGTCATGCGTGGGAAACCCGGCAAACAGGCAAACAAAAAGTCTTCTCTTGGACAGCAGCCCAGAGACGGGCACCGCGAACCGTCGCCCCCCGTACGGCTACCGAGCGCGGACACCCAGCACAGGCCACTCTGCTCGGGACGGTCTACAAGCGTGGGGTTAGGTCCGCTGCCGGCACGGGCGAGTGGGAGCTGGCGCAAGCTAGTGCAGTACCCGTAGGAGAAGGCTCGTGGGAACAGAAGACCAAAGGGAGAAAGCGCCTAGCTTTCTTAACTTTATGCTGGCGGGGACTGACTCCTTTACAAAGAGGCGAGAGGAGGGAAGAGAAAAACAGAAACACATTATTCAGTACAAAAGGAAACTTAGGTTACATTTTAAGGCAGATGTATAAAAGCAGAAACAAAATTGCAATGCTTTTATTTCACTACTGGCACGCTTTAACTATGCTTGAGTTTTAAAAAACGTATTAACATTTTAAAGTGCAAGTTCGTCTTTTAGCAAAGATTACTACTAGATACAGAAACTTTTGGACAGACATAGCAGTCTCCCAGCTCTGCAGAGCCAGCCAGGTGAAGGTATAGATATTTGTACAAATAACAAAACTAAAACAAAATGAGACTAGACAAAAAACAAAGACAGATAAACAGTTCAAGAACCTCGTGGACATTCAGCCATACAGAAAAACTGCCAGAAACTAGCAGATCCGGATTTGTGAGTTTTACGAGCGATTTTTCCCAAATCCTCAGCAAAGACACAGACTCACAGACCTTAAGTGCACACTGTGAATCAACTGCCTTAACGTAAAAACCAGCAAGGAGGTTTGGACACACAGGCTGCAAAGCGCCGACCTAGGGACTGCCTGCCTCTTTCATGCACTTTAAACTCATGTGACTGCCCTCTCTGCACCAGACACCGGCTGGGCCCACGTTACCCATCCTAGCCCTCCAGGAGCACACAGCACAGGAGAGCGGAGAAGCAGCGGGCGTCTGTCAAAGCGAGGTCAAAACAAAGGACGTACGGTCTTTGAGATGCAGCGGTGATAACGCGTGACAGAAAAGACAAAGGAGACATGCAAAACTTAACTGCACAGCCACAGGGGCCCCTCAAGAAAGGCCAGGGGACCAACTGATGGCCAAGAGCTTGCAGACAGTGTCACTGTGTTAGCGGATACAAGCGAGAGGAACTGAAACATATGATGTGATATTTCAGACCGGACGGGGTACCCTGCGACCCCAACCTCATTACCGAGCATCTCACCTCCCACCCCCGCAGCGTGAGTGCAGCTCCCTGCGGTGCCTCGGTTAAGAACGGGGTCCAGTGTGAAGCCTGAGTGCCCTCTGTCAGGCGGGCAGGAGCTCGGGCCTGGGGGTGAGGAGAAGGGGCCGGCCTAAGAGCTCTATGGGACGCTACCCGGTGAGACAGGAACACGGGCTGTGGATAAGGTAACAGCAGTCTATCACTATTAGGTTTTCTGATTTTGATAGTTACGCTGTGATTGTTTAAGATGATGTCCTTGGTCTTAGGAAACACACGTTGGAAAGTTTATAGGCAGAAAGGCACACCCTGTCCACAAGGGCTTCCAAATGGTTCAAAGGAAGAAAACTGAGTGAAGGATAAAGTAAGTGGGCCAAAGTACAAACACAGTGGATTTGAATAAAGAATAGACGAGACTTCTTTTCACTGCTCTTACACAACCATTCTCCAAGTGTGAAATTATGGAAACATAAAAAATACAAAGAACATGTATGTGAACTGAGATGCTGGCCCCACTATTCACTCCTTGACCTTGAAAATCTTACCAAACTTGTTTGTGTTTTATTTGCGAAACGAGGCAGGAGCAGAGGCTTCTCCCAGGGAAGAGCTGTGGAGAGGGTCCCCGGGGGACTCCCCAGGCCACACGCACGAGGCCACCACCACGGAAGTGCCAGCTGTTCCCATGTTCCCATTGCTTGTTTCTAAACTGGGCTGAGACTTCTTTACATTGACTTAAAAGGCAAGTAGCTTCTTAAAAATGTAAGCACAGGAAAACCTTGGATTGTAAGTAACTTGTTCCACGAGTGTTCCACAAGACGAGCAAACATTTCTAATAAATTTTAACTTGATAAACAAGCGATGTCTTGAAATACGAGTCGTACATCACATGATCACAACTGAGCCAATGGTTCTTGAAATTTGCTCTGATATACAAGCGCTCTGGATTACAAGCATGTTTCTGGAACGAATTATGCATGCAAACCAAGGTTTTACTGTATACCTTTCCTTCAGTGATACCAAGATCAGCCCACATCATTAAAAATGTTGGGGCTCCTGGGTGGCTCCGTCGGTTAAGCGTCCGACTTCAGCTCAGGTCACGATCTGATGGTTCGTGGGTTCGAGCCCCGCGTCAGGCTCTCTGCTGTCAGCACAGAGCCTGCTTCGGATCCTCTGTCCCCCTCTCTCTGCCCTGGCCTGCTCACATTCCCTCTCAAAAAAATAAATACAACAAACTAAAAAAAAATATTGTCAGGACCCTTCTAATTACTTTATTTGAGATACATTATGTTATACAAGACAGTTACACTTGTTAAACACCTGCCATGCGCTGGGCCCACCACGTAGACGCTAGCCTCCCAACTCCTACCTTATTTAACTTGTGTTCTCATTCGGGGAAAAGACAGTAAACAAAAAGGTAAATTACCTGGTGTGTCAACACATACGTGCTACAGGGACAAACAGAACAGAAGGGGGCTGGGCGTACTTACTTTCTAGTGAGGCTGCAACTTTAAACACGGAAGGAGTCACTTGCAAAAAGCCTTCGGGAGCAGAGGGAAAAGGGTCGTATGCACATCTGGGCAGAGCCAACAGCAGCAGGGCAGGCCCGGCTCTGCAGAGGTGAGCCTGGGCCACTTACCGAGGAGCAATGAGGTTGGGCAGGGTGACAAAAGAGTGAGAGGTGAGGGAGAGGTGGCCAGTGCTCCCAGTGGTGACACAGACCTAGAAGCCCACGTCAGGGCTCTGGCTGCACTGTGAGTGGCGTCAGGGTAGATGCCTGTAAGAAAGGAAGTGAGGTGACTGGCCTTAAGTGTCAAAGACTTCCCGGGAAGCTTTCAAAGGGTGCAGGAACTGCCAGGCTACTGCAACCATCCAGGCACGGAGTGGGTGCCCGCGAACGAGGGCAGCTGCACAGAAAGCTGAACTGGACACGCTGTGAGCGCCGAGCCAGGTAGGATGTGCCAGTCGGCCGATTATAAAGGAGAAAGAAGCAAGCACCCCAAAGCACCCCAAAGACCGGTCCAATCAGCCAGAAGGAGCTGCCACTAAGAGGAGGCCGAGAGCTGCATGCTCAGCGGGGAGGTCAGGGCTCCCTTCTGAGCACACGAAGTACGAGAGGCTCATGAGGCCCCAGAGCGCAGTCGGCCCAAGAGTCTAGGGCTCAGGGAAGCTTCTGGGGTTGGGATGGCACTTCGGGAGTAACCAGCATAACGAAGGCATGAGATACAGTAAGATCCCGGAGGTGGCAACTGGTGGCAGAGAAGAGGCCCCAAGACAGGGAGCCGGGGTCCTCAAGCGTGGAGGGTGGGGTGGCAGTGGTGAGGCAGGCAGGAGGGAAGTCAGGGAAGGATGATTTCCAGAAGCAGCTGGGGGAACAGCAGCACCCCCTGTGCCGAGCTCTGTCGCAGGGGGTGGGGGAGGCGAGAGGAGAGCCGGAGCCCCACACAGAGGGGCCAGGGGTTGGAAGAATCGCCTAGCACCAACACAGAAATCACCCGGGGCTTGCAGGGGGCGCCAGGGGGCGCTGAGCCAGGATTCAGACACTGAGCTCCCCTCCAGTCCCCGTGCAGCAACAGCTCGGAGAGAAGACCGTGGCTGTGGCTAGGAGGGCAGGAGGGCAGCAGGGCAGCGGCGCCCCCAAGACAGGGTCACACAGGTCAGGGAGGGTGACCAGAGGCGCAGAGAAGAGCGGGAGAGGGCACACCATGGGTGTGTGTGATGGGGATGGGGGCGACATGGGGCTTCTCGAGGGGCTGGCACAGGGAAAGCGGCCGGACCTTCAGGGCAGATAGTGTGGGTGGGCAAACTCCGGCGACCATCCAACCCGGGTGGTCATGGGGGCCCCCTACCCCTGACGATGCTAAAGATCCACGGATTCGTAATGAGGCCCCAAAAAGAAAACACAGAACAGGATCTGACTTGGAAGGCAAGAGTCCTTGTTTCACAAACTGGA